ACACACACACACACACACACACACACACACACACACACACACACACACACACACACACACACACACACACATATATATATATAATATATATATGTATATATATATAAACGGGGTTTTAAAAATGATTGGACTTCTGGTAATTGCAGCCACAAGATCGCGGATTGTATGGCGAACAGACGCGCGTCGACTCGATATAATATGTCATTAATTCATCATGGAAAATAACAGGCGATTTATGTCCTAGAGTTAACAACAACTTTGCTAGAACATATAATTTTACTCCCGTATTTTCATCATCGATTTTGGATGAAAGTGAAAGTTAGGACGATCACTAATCATACGACTCGTTATCGTTGCAATGGCAATTCTTACATTAAAACTGAGAGTGAGCGACGAGCGAGTGAGAGGTCTGATCGGAATCGGATGGGTGCAAATGTGCTCACTGTTCATGTAGCATTGAATTGTGACGTTCACGAGTTATTTAAAAAAAAACTGTTTATCTTACATTCTAATGTTTAAATTACCCATGCGGCATTCGTGTCGCGTGGTCACCTGACTACAAGAACGCGTCACGTTTTAGGACATGCGCCAGGTCGCTCGAAAATAACTCGAAAGCGATTAAATTGGGGACCTTTGACTTCATTGCGCAGATGTCATAACAGTATTAAGAGTAATTATATTTTCGTGATAAATTCATGTAATTAACACGCCAGAAACAGTTTAAGTATAAGCCCCAGCAACATTCTACAATTTGACAGCGACCAAAATCGTTGTTAATAACTATATATATCATGTGGTTTTTTTTTATCAAATGTAACATACTCTTAAACGGGGACTGTTTTGTAAAGGTCAACCAAGTTGCGCGTGAAACCGGTTATCGGTGAAGGCAAGGTCCAGGCGTAGCTAACTAATTTTGTTCTTAGGCGGGCAAAGCCACCCGCGGTTTTTTTGTTGTTGTCCGTCAGCAATACGCCATTAACCATGTAATTGCATCCATTTTTTTGGGGGGGGGGACGGTGCAAGTACTCCATGCTTCCTCCCTCCATAGCTATACGGCCTGGTATGACATGTTAAGTGGGCGTACGTGCTACTTTGCGTAGGCAGTACATACTATATATATATATATATATATATATATATATATT